CATTTATCGTTATTTAAAACAATTTTGCAGAGAATATTCTTACATAATTTTCTTTGGGCAGTCATCAAGCTTTTCTTAGTTTGTTAATTCCTAGAATTGTGTATTAGGATAAAAGATACATTTTGGTATAGGTAGTTTTTCAGAAGGATTAGTATTGGTTTTTGTGTGTGTCCAAATGAACAATATGAGGGTTTTTTTTTTTTATTTAGTGGAGAGTATATTATGTTTGGTTGTGTCACCTATGGTGAAATGTGATTTTGATTAGCAGTCCAATGTTTTGACCACAGCCCCACCAGAGCTCCTTTGTAAAATGTGATAGTTATTAAAATTACCATAAAAAGGGGATGAAATTACAAACATTGTTTTTGAGCAAGAGAAATTTTTCTACAGTGTGGGAAAATACAAGAGGGTTATATACATATGCAAATACACATATGTGTGCCTAGAAACTAAACTTGGAGATGAGGTAATGGTGGTAGTGATTGAGAACAGAGTATTTTTAAATTGCAAGCCTTGAAAGGTAATTCTAGTAGATTTCAGTACCAACATGGAAAGAGTAATATCCTTACTCCTAAAATGTTCATCTTAGTGTATTTTATTTCCACAGGAACTTAACTTCCATTTTAGAGTGGAAGTCCATGAGAATATTTACTGCCCATTAGAATGAAAAAGAAAAAATACTCATTTTAATTTGGAAGTGTTTCTTTTCTTACTACTCCATGATGCCTTTTGTTTATATTATTAAAAAGTAATGCAATACGTTTCATTTATGTTTCTATCTCCTAAAAATTAGTTTGGGCCAAAGAGCAGAATCAAAATTACATACCAGTTGTATTATCCAGTTCATTGTTATTGTTGTTGTTATGTGCCTGTTGAGTCGACCCGACTTATAAGTTCCATGGCAAATATATATACCTGACAGAATAATGTGGTAGCTTTTACAGAAAGTGCACTCAATTTGCAAAGATTGAATACTAGGCACATTTAACATAAGAGGAAGGAGTAAAGTATCCTTTCAGGACTTTCTCCCCCCCGCCCCCATTAAAATGTAATTTGACAGGAAACCACAGTATCCCCAATTATAATTTAAAAGTTTTATGTAGTGGTGCAAACAGTTAAGCACGTGGCTGCTAACTGAATGGTTGGTGGTTCCAATCTACCCACTTGCTCTGTAGGAGAAAAGAACTGGTGATCTGCTCCCATAAAGATTACAGCCTAGAAAACCCTATGGGGCAATTCTACTCTGTCACATGGGGCTGCTATGAGTTGGAATGGACTCGACAGCACCCACCAACAATTGCATGTAATATGCAGATGTTGCATTAATTTATCAGAAGTGGTATGTTACAGGTGAGATTGAGTAAGAGTTGGTTTCCATAGCTAAAGATCTTTTCTTTGACTAACAAAAGGCAATTCATGATAACCCATGACTAAGGGAGAAAATGCTATCAGGGAAAAATATATATGATGGTCTAGAGAAAGATTAATGAAGTTAAATGGGACAGAACCATTTTAATTAAAATTTGTGTTAATTTTTTACAGTGCTTGATTAACATAAGAGCAAGGAGTGAAATGTCATCATTCTTTTACTTCTACATACAACAAATACTTAGTTACTTACATAATAGTGAGTCAGTGCTTTTTGGGGATAACTGAGGTGATTGAGTTTCTTCTTCTCAGCACAGTGCATGGCATATAGGAGATGATCAATATTTATGTGTTGACTGATTTCACTTCTGCATCTGCAGCTTGAGTGCAGTTTGTGTTATGTCGAATGAGACATCCTTTGTAGCATTAATTGTGCCCTTGTGAAGACTTTGATTCCTTCCAGTCACTTACCAAGTTCCAAGTGGCTTTTCCCTTGATTTGGGAATATGGATGGTATATTAGGATCCACCCTTGAAGTTTGCCCCAGTAGCTTGAGGAAACTGACTCGATTTTGTAATTGGGGAATACTGGATTTGGAAAAGCAGGTACTTCTAATTAATTTGATGCTTACAGATAGGACTTTGATGGCCTCTGGAATCTTTGTGTGGAAGTAAAAAAGTTCCTTAAGGTATGGTTCAACTTTATTTTTGCATTTTGTTTGTTTATCAAGAATCTGAAAATTAATTGTTGTTATAGAAATGATAAGGAGAGTATAAATGATAAAAATAAATAACACTGAAGAAAGTTGATGTTTACTCATCACTAATTTAAGCATGTTTCTCTGTGCAGGTGTAATTTGGCTTCCTGAGATTCTGTCTTAGCAAGAAATACTCTTGGAAAGAAAACTAAAATTATAGGGAAGACAATTTATTTTTACATGGTTGTCAGCTCACTTACCAATATGGACACCTTTCCCAACATTTTTCCTCCTGCTGGAGATGGTGGACTGACTAGTTCTCAATCGGAGTTCCAAAAAATGTTAATTGATGAAAGGTTACGATGTGAACATCATAAAACAAATTATCAGACTCTGAAAGCTGAACATTCAAGGTAAATTATTTAAATTTAGAGGCTGGGGGCTTGGTAGAAATAATAAGATATTGGGACCTTTTGCCTGAATGTTTGCTCTGGAAGATACACTATAATTTTATTTTGCATTTAAATTTTTTTTTAATACTGTAGAATTTTTGCTTTAAAATTACTTTATATGAAACTGATCCTGATAATTAAGTGGGTATGAATTTTATAAAATTCTTGTTTTGAAAGTAGCAAGACATATCTGATTAAGATATATCTGATTAAATATGTTTAGGTGAGCTGTTTTTTTTCCCCCTTAAAATAAAATTGCATTAGGAAATGGTACTGTTAATACTTAATATAAGAAAAGATTTTTGCCAGTTTAATGGAATGTGTATTGATTTTGTTCTTCTGTAGTGTTGGTTGACTACGTAAAGTAATATAATTAGAAAGGAAAGGATATACTTAATATTGAGTCTTTTTTTTTAAAATCAGGTTGCAGGATGAATACATGAAGTCACAGAATGAACTCAGGCGACTGTTAAATGAAAAGCAAACTCACCAGGAAAAATTTCAGCTGCTGATTGAAGAATTAAAAGAGGAATTAATAGGAAAAACTAAGGACTTAGAGGAAATGAAGCTACAGGTGAGAAAATATATTTGAGTTAGTATTGAAGTAGTTGGATGTTTGTTGTTGTTGTTATGTGCTGTCGAGTTGGACCCGACTCATAGCGACTCCTCCTTGGGTTTCCGAGGCAGTATCACTACGGAAGTAGATTGTGCCCCATCTTCTTTCCGAGGAGTGGCTGGTGGGTTTGAACCGCCAGCCTCTGGTTAGCAGTCAAGTGCCTTAGGCACTACGCTACCAGAGCTCCCAATTGGATGTTTTGTTGTTGTTGTTGTTGTGTGCCGTCGAGTCAAACCCGACTCATAGCGACCCCTCCTTGGGTTTCCGAGGCAGTATCACTACGGAAGTAGGTTGCCCAACCTTCCTTCCGAGGAGTGGCTGGTGGATTTGAACCGCCAGCCATCTGGTTAGCAGGCAAATGTCTTAGCCACTATGCTACCAGAGCTCCCAATTGGATGTTTAGTGGAAGTAATTTGGTAAATTCTTAGTAAGTATTTTGCTATGTCTCCAGATTTCCACGTAGTATAATTTAACTTCTTTCATATATTTTAGAGTGTTAGTTACAGTGTAGGGTAGACATGACACTATCATTTTATATGAATTGATGTTATATTGCCTATTTAGATTTAAATTATATTTCACTATTTAGAAAAAATGGGAGAAAAGGAAGTGTGAATGGATGAAGATTCAGAATTAAGATTATACTTTTAAAGGAAAGTTTATTAATATTTCTGTAAGTATTGTAATTGGAACTAAGCTGAAAAAGATTGATAGTTATTTAAGGAGATTCTTAAAAAGACACTGTAAGAACAATAAACCAAAAAGCAAACCCACTGCCATCTAGTCGGAGCCGACTCATAGTGACCTCTCCTTGGGTTTCCAAGGCAGTATCATTATGGAAGTAGGTTGCCCAATCTTCCTTCTGAGGAGTGGCTGGTGGGTTTGAACCTCCAGCCTGCTGGTTAGCAGTCAAATGCTTAGGCACTATGCCACCAGAGCTCCCGAAAGAGCAATATGTGCACATAATTTATGAAAGGTAAGTGGCGTTTTAAAGTAAAAAACAGTTGGTATTCAAGTACTAAACTACAGTTTCTATATTTTTTTTCACTTTCTAGAAAGTAGAGCAAAGCTAAATTTCAGCACCAGTCAAACGTATAAATTTCATATTAGGAGGCAATGGGTTTTAAAGACTGATATTTTCCTATATTCATTTAATCTGAATAATACCAGCTGTATATTTCTGCCTAACAATGTGTTTGATATAAATAATAAAATATTAGTATTGGAGTCATAAGTTCATAGAGTATGTATCTTTTAAATCATGTAGTCTGGCATATCACCAAAAGCAGAGATTCCATTGACAGCAGCCTTGGAAATTTGTCGTTCAATGTCTTGAAGACTTCCCATGGTTTTATTTCTGGGTGTATTTAGGATATTTAACAGCAAATGAAACCTCAGAAATGTGAGTTGACGTGGGAAATGCATTGCTAGCCTCTAGAATCGCTGGATTAATTGGTTTTTTAATATTTGAATGTGAATGGAATATATGAAAGTTGAACCTGAGATGTTCTTCAGGCATTGTGAGTTTAATTATGGTGTCTCTTGAGAGTAACATCTAGACAGGGTCAATGTTGGAGATGAAATCAATAGTTTTTTTTTTCCTCCTGGCAGATGCTTGGGAGATATTGGTGCTAAAACATGCAGTGAGCCAGGAGTGAATGCTGCTCTTGATTTGTAATGTTATCTAAGATAATTATCTTTCCAGGATATGTCATCTGTTTCTTTATTCTTGCCTAGTATCCTTTTCACAGAAATAAAATTTCTTGTTTGTTTAAATCTCTTAAAATTTACAGCTATGCCTATTTATGCTAACTATATATGAAATGATTGAAAGTTATTAATGATTTTAAGCCTATCACTTTTGTTCCATGGTTTGACATTTATACATAATGCTTATTTTTTAAACTGTAAAAATACAAATTTCAAATACAAATTTCTTTATATTTAATATTTTTTAAAAATAGTAATCTTTCCCTTTAACAATATCCATAATTTCAGAATAAGGATATAGTTCTTTGTATATTAATATTTTGGGGGACATACAAGAGGTAGTGAGGAAACTGAAAATCTAATATGAGGAAATTTTTTTCCCCTTTTGGTGCTCTACCTTAGAGGACACAAAAAGACAATCTAATTTTTATTCTTTCTTGCTCTTTGGGCATTTCTGAGCCCATATGCTTTATATTCAGAGTGTTCTTGGGGTGCTTAAGGATACTGGAGCCATCAACAAAACTTCATCTACAACCTTAGTCTAAAGCATTCCTGAGAAATATGATCTCACTCAGACCCAGGCTTATCCTGTTGTTTTGGAAGGCATTGAAAATATGTTGAGCTTGACCTCCAGTCTGCCACATGTGGGGATTCTGAATTGAACTGCCTCTGATAACAAGTTTTTGGCTGAGGTGCTCAAAGGTTAGAATGAGTTCTGATACTGTAACCAGTAAAAAAAAATCAGTTGCAGTTGAGTTGATTCTGATTGATGGAATCCCATATATGTCAGAGTAAAACTGTTCCATAGGATTTTCAGTAGATTCTTTTCAGAAGTAGGTTGCCAGACTTTTCTTGTGAGGTGGTTCTGCTTAGACTTGAATTGCCAGCCTTTTGGTTAGCAGCCAAGCACATTAATTGTTTGTACTACCCAGAGACTTCTGTAGTACCATAGAATGTCTAAGGATATGGACTAGGACTGTTTCTATTTTTCATTATACAATTATTTTTTTTTTGCCTTTATTTTAGAACTTTAAGAAGCTGTTGTAGCACAGTGCCTAATTTGACTGCTAACCAGAAGGTTGGCTGTTCAAACCTACCAGTGGCTCCACAGAAGGAAAATGGGGCAATCTACTTCTATGAAGATTTACTGCCTTGGAAAGCCAATGGGGGTCACTATGAGTCTGAATTGATTTGATGGCAGTGAGTTTTTTTTTTTTTTTTTTTTCCCCTTGGTTTTAGAGTTTTAAGGAGCTTTGGTGGTATAGTGGTTAAGGCATTTGGCTGCTAACCAAAAGTTTGGTGGCTGAAACCCACTGACTGCTCCATGGAAAAAGATGAGGCAGTCTGTTTTCATAAAGATTTACAGCCTTGGAAACTCAGTGGGGGTTGCTATGAGGCAGAATTGACTTAATGGCAGTGAGTTTGATTTTAGAGCTTTAGTTTTTCTTCAGAACTACATCAGAAATACATGTTTCTAGAATTTTTTCTGAACGCATGAATGAAGAACTGTATATATTTTCTATTTCTGACTGGCACATAAGATTTTTTAATAATAAATAGGGTGTTATATGGATTAATATTTATAATTCCTTTTGGAACCATGTATATTTTCTTCAGAAATGTGCTGTTTAATTTCAAAATGTTTAGAGTGCTCCTAGGGTATCTTTTTGATTTTTAATTTAACTCCATTGTGGTTAGAGATTATATTCTGTATGATTTTAATCCTTTTAAATTGATGGAGACTTCTTTTATGACCTAGTATATTATCTATCTTGGGGAAAATACCTAGCCCTTTGAAAAGAATGTATATTCTGTTGTTGGGTATAAAACCCACTGCCACCGAGTCGGATCCGACTCGTAACGACCCCTCGTTGGGTTTCTGAGGCGATATCACTATGGAAATAGATTGCCCAACCTTCCTTCCAAGGAGTGACTGGTGGGTTTGAACCTCCAGCCTTCTGGTTAGCAGTCAAATGCCTTAGGTATTATGCCACTAGAGCTCCCTTATTGGGTATGTTGT